CAACATGACTGTTCATACTGTAAAAATAATCTCCTGTCTGTTTTTAAAGGTGCATAAAATTTTTGCACTGCAGTAGCAAAATTGTGCAATGCTGGCATAAATAATCTGTTCTGACAGGCCCTCAGGGAGTAACTCCTGTAGACAGGATGTGTGAGTATTATCCTGGGATGATCTGATGCACTGGTAACTGCACTGTAACAATGGAAGCATGAGATGGGCCTCAAGTACAGTACCATGGGCAGGCTCAGCTGGGTTGGTAAGGTAATGCAGCTCAATTTCCAAACCAAAGGCAAAGAAACTAATAGTCAGTGTAGAGGACCATCTGTTAGACAGACAGAATTCCCTGTGTTGTATTAAGAAAACCTTTGGTAAGAGACATCCTGAACCTTAAGTGAAATCTTTGGTGTTTTTCATTTCTTACTTTGCTCTGCAATCATTTGTAATAATAATCTCTTATAGCACAATTGGTGCTATATGCATACATCAGTAAGAAATCACACTTTCATGATGCTGACTCATAGCCATTTAGAAGGGAAGACTCATTAAGGGAGTGCAAATTATCCACACTGTCCAAAGGAGATTGTTCTTTATGTTTTGGAATCAGGATGTGAGCAGCTATCCCTCTTCCCCGCTGCTCTTGGCAGCATCCTTCAGGATGCAGACAGAAGTTTGTTTCAACAGCCCTGTAGGACAGAATGACAATCTTGTTCTCCTGGCCTTTGTCTGCCCTAGGCAGACACACATCAGCTGGTGTACACATTTCTTACCTGTATTTAGGTGTTGCAAGACATCTGACTGTGTACCTGGTTGTGACACATGGTTGTGGCTGCTCACAAGGACAACAGCTTCTGAACATTCTGTATGAACCTTTAGTTGCTGCAGATCAGCCTTAAAGTTGGACTTGTGTTAGGCAATGCACAAGAATATTTTAGGGCACTGAATACTGCATCAAAACGCACCCTTATGGTGCAAAGTGCTGCAGGCATGTGATTTGAATGTGCTTAAAAAGTATTCCAGTTTTTATTGGTTTTGAGTGTATTCTATCCACACCAGTCCCCCCCAGACAATGTAAAGCCAGTATAAATAACAAACTCTGTACTCTGGATAATTCACCAGAAGTGCCATCATGTGCTCCTGCCTGGTAGATGATCCAGTGCCACACAAATCAAATGGTAATAATCTTGTCAGCGTGTCCTTATTAAAGCTGAAATTTCTTAATTGTCTGAGTTTCACTTCTGTCTGACATACATATGAGCACAAAGAAATCTAATATTTACCACCACAGCTGTTTTCTACCTCCTTCCCCATCTGCAGCCCCCCAGGGACACCATTCAAATATCTCTTGTGTAAACAGCAGTTGGCAAAAATCCTGAAGTCCCTTCTACAGCAGATATGACATCACTGTGACACACATATCTTGAATTTCTTCAAAAAATTATTGGCAAAAAATCCTGAAATCCCCTCTACAGCAGCTATGACATCACTGTGACACACATATCTTGAGTTTCTTCAAAAAATTATTTCCTCCAGGTAATGTTCGCCAAGGAAACTGAGCAAGACGAGGGTGTTCCTGGAGGGCCTTACTCATCTCTGGCTGAAGACAGCCTCAGTCTTTGTGTTGGCTGCAGGGGATGAAGGTGAGTAGTTACAGGCTGAGCCTGCCCCTACCCCTGGTGATCCCCAGGGGAGGCCCAGTGGTCCTGTTGCTCTCTGGGGACTTGTTAATGAGATTTTCCGAATGCAAGACCTGTGCAGTTATTCCTTATTGCTCACATTCCCAGCTAAAGGAGAACCACCACGTGGGGATGGGCTGAGGCCAGGCAGCAGCGCTGTCTCTCAGGTAAAGACTCGTCTGGCAGCAGCTCCCCCAGGACAGCGCTGGGTCCCAGCTGCAGCCTCCCTCCCCATGGCACTGCTTGGAGACCTCTGCCTTGGCTGCACTGACTCCACATCATTCCCTAACCCCGACAGCCAGACCTCCTGGTGGTGGGGTCTTCTCAGGACCTTTATAAAATGGGCATTGTTTTTACAGCTGGTCTGCACAAATAAGATGAATTCTAGTATTTTCTTTCAATCTGTGTCATCTAAAGTTTCCAATACCACTTGAAAAGGAAATGCCGCTTGACCAGCAATCTGGTCCTTATCTCAGCTGCTCGGTCTCTGCACCCAAAATTTAAGTTTCAATCAATTTAGTCTTGGATGCCTTTCCAACTTCAGATAAATCAGAGCTTTGTGTACTTAACAGCTTTCAGAAAATATCTGCAATTAAATATGATACTTTGAATTTGTTTCAAAATACCTGACTTGGTATGGCACAGTTCCAAAGATAATTTAATTAGGGTTTTTCTTTCTGTGACAGTACCTGGGAAGAAAATGCTGAAACTTTCTTCTCCGAAGTGGCTCCCACTGAAATCAATGGAGCAAACTCAGAGGTACAGTCTGCTGAAGGCATCCCTTTTCTTTCCACAGACCAAATCTAAATACAGGGCCATTGGCTGATCATCTCTGCTAAGAGTTCTAAAAAGGAGTATGTCTTATAATCTTTTGTTTTCTAGTCAGTGGCTTGAGCCTGCCCATGTGAGTGGTGGTTTGATGTCATTCATGAGAACCATCAGTTGTCAGTTCTGGCAAAATCTGAATAAACTTTGTTGCTTTTTAATCTGAAATGACAGCAAAAGGTTTTGTGATAAAAATCTCCACCTGCAGATGTGCAGGGTGTTATCATCATCAGTTGCAATGAGCTGTCAGAATATAACCCTCAATGACAATATCAGGTGAAGAGATAAAGTTATAACTGTCATATACTGAAAGTTCTGTTGATGTAAGGACCAACATTCCTGATGACCTCAAAAGAAGGAAAAAAATTATCTTGTTCTGAACAGAAGATGGTGAAAGCATTAACCTAAAGAGCAGTGTCATAGTGAATGAAAACCAAAATTCATGGTACTTAATTTCTTTTAAAAGTCACTTCAGGCAGGTGCTCCACCAGTTCTACTATCATAGCCAAGTTGAAATTGTCTCAGCAGACAGTCCTTCATCCGTATCAGGATGTGAAGCTGCAGGAGAAAAGCCATGTTAGTAGTAGGTAGGTTTGCAAATATCCATTTAAAAAATAGAAATGTGCAGGGAAGACCACTTTCTTTTGGCTAACTTATGCTGCAAGTTTCATCTGGGTTTGGATTTGTATATACAAAAAAGTAGAGTTAACATTTTCAGAATATCCCCAGGGTCCTAGTTTTTAACTTTTCTTTAAATGGGTAAACATCTCTCTGACTATACAGTGTCCAGTGTAGCAGCATGGTGAGGACAGGCTGCTTGTGACTAATTAACACCCATTTGCAGAATTTCTGGGGCCACTAAGGCAAGCAGAAAATTATATCCTACCTTATATTTGGAATGGTCTAAGGCATGCCTCCAGTGTGGCATTAGCTTCCCACAGAGTATTTTCTCTGGTGGAAAATATCTGGATGTTAAATATTCCATATGCAATCACCTGATGACAAGCAAATATAAATTTTCCAATTGAAAAGTATCAAATTTTACAAATATTTTACAAATATTCCAATGGTTGAAATAAAAAA